CCTCTGGTGCAAATTACTGACCTCTGTCATCATTTTAAGTGGGGGAACTTGCACAATCGGTGGCTGACTAAATACTTTTTTGCCCCACTGTACTTGGCAGGGTTATTGTTATACAAAGTGCTACTGCTATTTTTCCTGTCAGATTTTAGTGCCTTACATTCAATGCATTGCTGCCAGCTCTTCCATAATCCCAAACTCTTCTGTTATCCCAAGTACAAAGACGAGTAACTGGACTGTGTCACAGCCCAGTATAAAAAGAGTAAAAAATGTTCGTTTTGTTTTTCAACAGTCACTCCACATTTCCCATAAAATCCTCAATCAAACTTGTTACGTTTCACCTGGAGAGGGGCACATTATCAAATGCTTCTTTTGTCTTACTGTGGCTTACGGTGGGTTTGTGGGAAATCACAAAGCTGGTCTCCACTCCTCCATTCCTGGATTTGTAAAGCTTGGTGAAAAGTCCTTGCTGCACTTGCAGCATTGCTAGCAAATGGTCAGATGTGCGTTTTCGCTCTGCATCAGAGTCAAATTCAAACTGTAATGCTTAAACACAGCACTCTGCTCTTTACAAAGTAGGCACTCACTCTTCCTGACTTAAGTGCTTAAATATATTACAATCCATATCTTGTTAAAAACTCTATATTTATTTTTTTAAATCTGAGCTGAGATCTTTCAGGACCAGCAAACTCACATCTCTCATAAATGTCAGTTCCAACACATTTATAGTGAGGCTGAATTAATTTGCACGCATGTACGTACATAAACTGTTTTATGATTTCCCACAAAAATTGCAAAAATAGTAATTCTCTGATGGGAAGTTTATCAAAGACTCTTAAGTGTATATTTATTTATATTTGAATTTTAATTTCCCATTGACCTCCACTCAATGGGACAACCAAATGGACAGATGTGATCCAAAGGCTTTACAATGCCCAGGTGAGTCAAATGTGTTTACTACCAGGTCAAATTTCAACAGCATTCTGTGCTCTCATTGGTGGATGTTTCAATCACTTGCCTGGGAGCTGGAAAAGTTTATCTTGTGCCCTGCCCACATTGTGTCACTAGTAGTTCTTTTGCCCTTTGTAACTTGAAGTTTTTCAACTTTCTATGGTCTGGGAAGGTTCGCAGCATTGTTACATGTTGTGTTGTCGGTGTGATCATGCAATTCAGTGTTGATTTGAATTACAGATATGCAAATTTTTTTTCTTTGTTGTTCCAAGTCACAAGTTTTTGATTGGGTTGGTATTTGACCCAACACAAGATTTTATCCAAACTTTTAATATCCCAAATACTACTATGCATTCAAAGGCATAAATAAAGTAAAGCATCCACGGCAAAATGACATATACTCAGGCAGCGCAGCAGCATTAATGAGAATCTCAGCTCCTCAGCAACTGACTGTGGTAGAAAGGCAAGGGGGAGTGGAGATGCCATGAGCAGAAAAATCAATATTTTTTTTAGTTTGATGCAAGTTGTTAAATCTCTGATATTCAGAACATATTTAAAAGAATGTATTTCAGAAGTAAAATAAAAGAAAAGTGAGGTGTTGCTGTGCAAGAGCATACATTGTTGATAGCAGCATTGGTGTTAAGAGGGGGTTTGTTTTGTTTGAATTTCAATAAGGCAGTGAATTTAGTCAATTTATTTAAAGAAAGCAAAACAAGCCTCTTGTTTTAGAGGAATGTCTCAATGAAGACAAAGAAAACATCTAAATTGCCTGGTTAATTTTGCTCAGTGGACACCTATATACATCTGCCCCGCTTGTAAACTGTTGGATTAGTCATAAATAACACAGTAACGCAGTAGACATGCAGAGAGGAGCTTTTTGAAAATGTCAGGCTACAGGGGAGTTCATATCTTTTCTTCTGAAGACTCACAATTTTCAATAATGCAGTTTCTCAAAGGTCCAGTTGCTTTGGCCACCTCTTGGTGCTTACCTGGGAAATCAGTCAAATAAATGACGTCATCTGACCTGCATTAGACAAACTGCTTTACACGGTGTGATTATTCAACAGTGACATGGACTGTTGAAAGTTAAAATTAAATGTGGCTTTCTCACCAGCAGCACGAGGACGGAAATAAGTTTTTCTTAATGCAGTTTTTATTAGGATTAAAATTGGCACCCTTGACCAAAAATGATCCGCTGCAACATTCGGAGCCATCAGTGGGAGAAGAGGAGGAAAAGGGATGATGAGTGCGAAGTCTTTAAAATTAAATGAATATAGCATCGAGGTTGCTTATAAGCAATAAGAACTATCATACAGAAGACAGAACAAGCAAGGCCTTTTTTTTTATATAGTTCTTTTATCTGTAATTGTAGAAACTACCATTGTTCTTAGCCACCTACACATTACACCTACAGGAGCTGCTCAGTAGGTATCTGAATTTATAACAGACGCAAATAAAAACTGAAAAAAGTAAGGATGTGGAAGAAACACCTTTTAACCATCTCAGGAGTGTTAAGGTTGCATAGTTTGTCCAGCAGAGAGCACTCTGCAACCTGTTGGCAACAGGTGTTTGGAACCAACAACCAGCTGATCTGAGAGGGCGGAGCGCGAATAAGCCATTCACAACTTGTTGTGGCATTACAACTAGATTATTTTTAAACTGCACCGTCATATCATTTTATTATGGATTCATAAATAACTGCACATGCCAAATATTAGAGAAAGCTGTTTATTATTTGTGTGTCCTAAAGAAAAAAAAATCTACTGATATTCATACCTGACGTTCTGTGGTTCCTAAACGCTGATAACGGCACTTTTTGTTTGTGGAAACAAACATTGATATTGTGGAATATCTAGGAG